GGTTAAACACATAAGCGATTAGATCAATCAATTACCGTAAGGCCTGTTAGCTCAGTTGGTTAGAGCATCAACTTTGCAATTTGAGACCGTCCAACGACCGCGATCGAATCCTGGCTGTGCCAGAATTTTTTTTTTATTTTTTTTTATTTGTTTAGAAATTATGAAAATTTAATAAATACGATTATTGTTGATTATTTTTTTAAATACATTTTAATTATTATAATAATCTGGTTTTACATTTTTTGATGAAATTATTTTGTGGTCGTAGGAAAAATATTGTACATCACTTGTGTGAAAAGTGATTTTCCACACTCGTGTGATAGTCGCACTCGGCTTACGCCTCGTGCGACAATATTTCCCACTCGTGTGAAAAATGTCACTTTCCACACTCGTAATGTAATATACTATAAAGTATCCCTTTTTCAAATTTATAAAATTTTTATTTGAAACTTGTTTGTAGCCTATAACGATACACTGTACGGTTATATAAATTGATCATCTGGTTTTCAAAATATCTAACATAAGCTCATACCTTAAAGTAAAAATGTAGGTAATAATTTTGTTTTACTATTTAATGATATAACTATTATATAGGTCGTTGAAATGCCTAATTATGTGATTTGTAACTGAGAAAGATGGAAGCGATTTTCCAAATGCAGAACAGAATGGATTAAATTCCTAAGAAACAACCATAAAAATAGAAACAAGGCTTTTTAATGTTCAAATACCTGCCTTGCTTTCTCAATTTGAACTATCTGGTATTTATTTTTAAGAGACAAACATTTGATAGGGTGTTTTTTGTCATCTACTTTTGATATTTTTCATTAATATTTTCTCTCTCATAGGAGAATTCCCCAAAAATATAAAAATCAGTGACCAGCAGTAGAAATGTGAAACAATTAAAGCCTTAAGCATTATTACACTGTATGCACAACTAAAATTTTCAATATTCCCTAAATGTTTTTATACAGGGTAGACCTTAACTAATGGCACATAGAATCGCCACAAAATATTTAGACTAAAATATCAGTAGTGGCCTAAAATGTTGCTATGCAAAAAAATATAGGGTGTCAAAATTGAAAAATATCTACCCTCATCATGTACAATGAATCAACCACCTCTATTTCTAAGCACCGCAAGCTTCACCTAACACATTAAATTGCTTCATGTAAATTCTGTAAATTTCCCGTTCAAGTTTTATTAATCAGGCAATCCAAAACACGTGACTTTAAATGGTAGAAGATTGGTAAAAACAACCAAAGTTTTGTGACAACGTATTTGGCGAAGTTATTAGGCAGTCTTGTGAATTATTATTTAGAATTATTTTTGGTTCTTAGTTGAAAAATGGCAAATAAATGTATTTTTATTTCACACCTTTTTAGTCTCAAACTTAAATTAATAGGTCTGTTCCAACAACGATCAGAAACTAGTCACTTACACCAGGATTCTGCGCAGTAGATTATTTGGATCGCCAAATTACATACTGCGCAGAATCCTGGTGCCAATGACTGGTTTTTAATCATTGTTGGAACAAACCTTATAAATCAACGTAATCTTCAAATCAATGGTCAACCGTTTTAAAACTCACAAGTTGGCCGTGATTTACAATAAAAACAGTCAAACACTGTTTTTGACAAGACGTTGGATTGCCTAATTTTTCCCCAAATTTTATCAACAATAAAATACTATTAAGAATATGACGTCATTAAAGCAACTTTGAAGTTAGTTCCAAAAAAGTAATAAGTTATAGTTCTACTATCACTAAAAGCAATTTTAAGCAAACTACCAAATTTTCTTGGTATTTACCACACAATTTCTTGGTTATTGCGTGAATTTATGGAAGGGGTTAGTATACTGACGTCACAAGTGGCATTCGCTTGAACGAAGTGGTAATAACCGTGGTTGTAAGTTTGTTTATTTTCAAATGTCAATTCTATTTAACCTATCTTTTTCGCCGTGTTTATAAATTAGTGATATAGATTTTTATTTAAACTATATTGTTTATTGTCCTGCAAGAAAGAATAAGATCCAAAGAAGAAATTATAGTCTCTGAAGTCTTTCCCTTTGCATTTTTAACTTATCCAATAATCTTTTACCACTTTTGAACACGATTTTAATGTTTAAAAAAGGCACAAAATCGGGTTTAGTACCTTATTTGCATAGTACTAATCGGTACAAAACACTCACTCCAGTTGTAACTGTCAATTACCTATCACCAATAATCAAAAACATCTCTGGAAGAAGGTAAATACCGTAAAATTTTGGTTATAACTTTGACAAAAAACAGCTGATTTATGACGTCACGGATATATTACCAAATTAATAACCAAAGTCACTTGAATGTTGTAGTAATTACCAATCTCAAATGGTAAATACCAAATGCTTTTGGTTATTCACTTAAAATTGACTTAAATTTAGTTAATTTTGGTTTCACTGACAATGTTAAAGTGACAGTAGACTTGTTCATTAATTTTTTTGAGTGCGTTTTGTTTACCTTAATTTAGTAATTTTTGTCTTTCATAAATGTATTCCTAAAATAGATAACATGCATTAAGTATATAATTGTTTAATATTTTTAATATTTAATTTTTTTTTTTTTCAGTTCCTCGTATTACAATAACTTTTATGAAAGCAGTTAAAACGTTAAATTGACAGAATGGTTTATTTTTGTTAAAAGTTTGGTTAAAAGTTAACTGTTAGTGGAACCAAAATTATTAACATCAGACTAATATGGAGTATATTTAATAGACCTTTTCATCATGTGATGAGCGCAAGCGCAGCCACCATGTTGAAATAGCGGTAATTCAAAAGTTTCGTACTGTTTTGATCGACAATGGCTGGGAAAGCAATGTTATCTCTACAGAAAAATTAATCATTAGAAAAAATCGTTGATAGTGAATAACTTTTTTATAACTCTGTGGAAGCGCATAGTTGTGAGCAGTTGAAAAGGAGGTTGAAGTGTCTTGGATGTTTGTTACAAAGGAACAAAGTGGACTAATTGAGAGGTTAGGTGTATCAATACTTTTTAACTCTGTAAAAAATTAATGAAAACAAATAATAATTATAACTTTATTCTAATTAATTATGCCAACCAACTATTACTACTTGCAAAAACACTTTAATTAGCATGAAAGTTAATCACGAGTATAATTAATAAAATAAATTATTTATTATTTTGAGGATCAACATGACATTTTTAATCATTTAATGTGTATGCCGAAGTAGTATTTAATATTAAAAAAATATTGTTTTAATACCACATGAGAATTTTCTTCTGTTGGACCACTTTCTCCATGAAAATGCAGTGAAATATAAGTATCTTTAGTAACATCATTAATCCATCGAAAACCGTTGTCACTTCGACCATATTTTTTCACACTTAATGCACATTTCGAATATCTTTTAATATGGATTTTGCCTGATAATTGTTTACGATATTGCAGTTAAGACTTTGGAAAATTTATAAAATAATATCTATTGCCTTTGAATGATTTATACCGTGTGTCACTTTTACATAACAACACTGTTTCGTTGTTCCTTTCCGTACAGATAACATAATTATAATTGATTGTGAAAATGTATTTTTCAATTAAGACACTAAACTTATTATTACTTTACTTTTTTCTTCCTTTTTTTAAATGAATATAGACTTAAATTAATATTTATCAATTATAATTTTTTTCACGTAGGCATTTTAACATACTTGTTTGCAAAAACAGTACGAAAAAGATGGCTGAAACTGACGCATGCGCACAAAAAAAAATTGTGATGAAAAGGTCTATTAACACTTCATCTTTGTCAGCAAACATTGTAAATTTATGGCGTCTAAATTCATATGTGCTGTCGTGACGGGTAAAACGTTTTAAGTTGTTAGATACGAAAATTAAAATTTTGCAATGTTATAACATCTTTACTAGCTTTATTAATAAAATGAAACACTACCGTTGCGTTGCAATGACAATTTTATTACTGATGGTTCCATGAATTCTAACTCTAAAATTTGATAATAAAAAATAAAATCATCATCAGAGATTAATAATGGGGGATTCTCTTTTTTTTTTAAATTTAAGATATTTGAATATAAATGTAGGTTTCATATTTCATATCTTTTTATTCATAATCGATTTTGTTAAAAAAAATATTTTAGACGTTTCTAGTTTGATATGTGGTAACATAATAATTGAGTGCTGTTGCCTTGGGAGGTGAAATGTAATGAGGAAAAAATGCTTTTTAGTACTTTCCACAATAATTATACATATGAGAACTGGCCATTGTCTAACCCCCATTCCTTCTATTTTGAATCGGAATTAAAGATGATCCATTTTGCAAGGGTGGAGAAGTTGGATCACTTAATCAAATCATCTTGGAAAGTCCCATCAATAACAAAAAATTGAACTGTATTTAGAATTGACGAATGCTGCTTTAATCGTTCTTATTTGATATTAATTCTATTTTGTCGCATTTGGATGATAGAAGAATAACCACTCTTTCCAAAATTTTGAGTATATTTAGAGTCAACATCTAGTAGTGAAGCAAAACTACCGCAAATCATTTTTCCTGGGTAAAAAAAGAAAAACAAAGAAAAAACTACTTTGTACCAAATTGTTTAATGCTCCTCTGAAAAAACACATTTGTGCCCAGAGACTTGAAAGTGGGAAAATTGTGGTTTAAGGCAGTAGGGATGTTGTAAAGACATAAAACAACCTCACATGGTTGCCCCATATCAAAAGTAGGAACAAAATATTTTCAAGTTTAAATACTTTCCTAATTTTAACTAATTTGCTAGGTTATTTCTTTTGTCTAGTTTCAATATTTTTCATTATTTATATGTCCTTTTCATACGAGAATTCCCCATAAAAAATTATTCCAATTTCATGCATTTATTAGTACAAATATTATTAATGAAAGTGAAATATGTACAATAGTCGTGTTATTAGTTTGGTTTTTAATTTTGAAAAAAGAAAATGATTTTTTTATGCAGTTTCGATTGAGCAACTTACCGTTCTACCTAGCCAACTAGCCATTTCGTCAATTTCAAGGTCTTCCGGATTCTGCTTAACATAGAAGAAAGCAACATATGATATTAAGAAAAACGACAAAAGCTTAAAAAAACGCAGTAAGACAACCAAAAATGTAGTTAAATACTCACGGTCGCTTTTCGTTGTGTTACGGAACTCAAACCGCCCGCTACTTGATCCGGATCTAGATTGTCCTTATAAGTGCTGCTACTGAAAATAATAATCATCTTTTTCTACTACTAAATGATTAAGTGATTTTTTTATAGGTATACAAATTTGAACTACGAAAAAAGAAAAATATGTGACATTTGAACTACTTCAGTAAAATAGTGTTAAGTGACATTTGAAATACAATCAGAGATAACGGGAGCTGTAACTACAAATAAATATGGTGAATAAGACATATTCTAAGGGACAGAGGAGGTATAATATCTGCTGTTGTCATGCCTATTTCATTGTTCTCGTTTTGTTTACAAAATTATTCACATATTTTAAAAAAGCTGAAATAATTCAACCTGTTTTATTGCAACTGAACACAAAAAAAATTGAATCATTAGTAATATCAAATTTAACTAAATTAGATGTAATAGGGATGGCTGAAGGACTTGTCTATGGCTAATAAAGTGCTTTTATTATTATTAAATGTAATAATTTCAATAAATTCCAATTTCTAGTTAATGTTAAATTGGATATCAAGAATTTTTTACTAGATTTAGCAACATGGCTTGCATTTTGTAGGTAGCGCCATATTATGTTGTGTTACTGGGGTTTACAAATATTCATTGATAAAGTTTGGCGTTTGATGTTATATTTGATTGTCTATTATTGTTCATAGTATTCTGTTATAATACAAACTTTAAAACATGGCGAAACACTGCAAAATTTGTAAAAAAAAAAACAGGACAAATTAGACCCAAATTCTACGTTTCATATGTATTTTCTAGGTTAGAATTTGCTTATCATAGACATACTTATTACGAAAAATATCTTATGTTTTAAATAATTATAGTTTTATGTTTTGGGATCAACCATGGTTGTCCATCAGCCTTTACAAATCAGGAGAAGATGAGAAATTCTAAAATTGGTCCTGGAAATTAGGGAATATTTATAAAAATCTCAAAGTAATTTTATATAAAAATCGAATTTGTGCAAAAATGCTACATTTCTTTATTAAAACATATTTAAACAGGTTTTAAAATGATTCAATTAAACTGAGGCGTTTCGGTAATGTTATTCGGCAAAATTTTTGATTTAAGTACCTAGGTAGGTACCTATAATGAAAGATCACAAATATCATAGTCTATTTATTGAAAAAAATAGATTAATTCAATCAGACTGAATATAGAAAATAGGATTCAAAAAATTCCAGTAAAGAGGGCACTTGTGAATTTGTAGTATTCTCATTGTTAATTAATGAATAATAGATTATTGCTTCATTGGAAATACCAAGAGTTTACACATTGACGACGATATTTTTCTGAAGTTTTGAATATGGAATTTAAAAGAATATTTACATTATTCAAAAAATTTAAATTTCGTTTAGGGAGACGAGTTTGATGACGTGTCGCCTCTTAGTTTTGTTGTAAAAAAAAATATTTAAATTTAGTGGAGGGGAATGATTTTAGCTATGACACAGACATTTTTCTTAAGTTTTGTTCTTGTAATTTGGAAAATATTACTTTTTTAGTATTTCCTATGAGTTTTATGTCATAATTTTTTGATTTTTTTTATTCGTATCGCCTGAGTGAATTTTAATGTCTACTAAATTATATGATACATTAAAAACTTACATGACGAATTTTAATTTTTCTGAAAAATTATTTATACTATTGCTTGATATATCTATATTAATTATAAAAGACAACATCTTTCAAGTGATTAAAATAACACTTTACATATTTAGATTTATAGTGCACAAATCTAATTTATTCCATTCTAGTAGTATGCCAACGCAATTTACTCGACACTCCGCCGTCGCTCGAAAATAGCCTACACCTTATCCCTTCCATACCTAACACCACACGTCTCTCTTGATTTACAACTGGACTGACAGAATGTCGGCATCACGAAAATGTTATTTTATCAATGAATACCTACATCTTCTGTTATCTCTGACTACAATATACATTTACAAGCTGAACTTCAAAATTTTAAAGTTTGTTATGTAACTCAATTTTTTTTTTTTTTTAATGTTAACTGTGATGGAATTTATTCCGAAACATGCAGTGCTAAATTAATAAAATATAATTGAAGGATCATATCAAAAACGTTTTATTTATTTATGAAAAATAAAAATTACTAATACATGCATACCTCTTTTTTGAACTCTCGTAAGTAACGTTCCTCGATTGGGCGAACATATCGAAATCGTCGCTCCCTATTTTGTCAATTTTACTCACAGAAGCGTCGCCGCCGCCTACCTTATTAGGCGTTAATGCTGAAAGTAAAGAAAAACATTTTTCCGCGATTAAATAAAAAATAATCGCTGCAATTCCTTACTTAATCCGTTCAACGCTTTAGGCACCTCGTCGTCGAAATCGATCAGACTGTCGCTCGCTTCCAACGGCGGTTTGGCGACAGCGGATTGAGACGGCTTGATGGCTGATGGATGCGTCGCTTTCGACAGCATCGCGGAGGCGGATGACTGTTTCATGCCCACCCCTCGGTTCTTGTCCCATCTGCTGTACCGCAAAAAAAGATTGTTCAGCTCGTCGTTGATTCTAAGCAACTCTTCGCATAAACCGTCGTTGGATATTTTGCTTATCAATTCTACCAGTCGTTGTTGCATGCTTTGACAGGTCACGTGCAGTTCCTGCAAAAATTATCATCAGAAGTACTGACAGTGCATATTATTTCCATTTATTTATTCGTGCATAATCGATAATTATATATGATTTTTAATTATATTTTTTAAACACTTATAATTATCATAAAATATAAACAAGTACTTTAAATTAGACAATTTTAAAAATGCTATAAGAAAGATTAGGGGTGAGGGTAGCCATATGAGTGGTTGGGATTGAGTAAGAAGATGTAAAGAAAGGTACTCAATTTCTCACAAAGTCAATTTATTTGCAACCGGTGTTCGAAGTAATTACTTCATCATCAGGCACACCTAAATGGAAAGTCATGGAGTCAATGTATTGAGAGATATATATCAAATTAGTAGCGCATGTTGCGAAACCTGTAGATACACTAAAATCAAGATTAAAGAGAATACTAGATGACAGACTAACCTGTAACAGTTCGAGCTCGTCAGGTTGTTCTTCCCCAGGTTTTATCTCATGTAACATCTCACCCAAAACGGACATGTTACTCTGCACTACATCCAGTTCGGATTGAAGTTTAGCTCTCTGCTCAGGAGTGAGGGTTCCTGTGAAAGTAGGCGGAACGTGTCTGGGAGATGCAGATTCCCCTCTTGGTTGTGGCCTTGGTTCTGGGGGAGGAACAGGTTTTTCTGTTACGCTCTAAAAAAATGGCGAAAAACGTGCCATGTATTTTTAATTATATTTTAACCAGAATATCAGCTAGAGATATAAAACGCATTATTCACAATGGTTAAGAAGTCGTGAAATGAATATTTTTAAAAACCTTGTAAACAAGTAAAAAAAAAGGAATCTTTTAGAAATTTAACTGAAAAATGAACTTTTATTTTTTAAAAGATTCATATCTTATATCTATATTCTATATTTGTTTTTGTGAGAATTTTTGAATGTTAACTCTCTCAAAATATTTAACAATAATTTTTAGGTATGCTTTTAAATGAAGTTTTCTTTATGTACTATGATATTGCTAAACTTTGGCTCGTCTATTACTTTTAGAATTAATAAAGGAAATTCAAGAATACCTTTTGAATTCCCTTAATTATTTTTCAGTTACTTCAATAATCTTAGAGAGACAAAATCTCTTTCATTTCACTTTCTATTTATTTAATTGTATCAATTAAAAATGAATAAAAATATATTTCTTAAATAATATATTAATAATAAACAGTCAGATAATGTGGAAAAATCGGTTGAAATTGGTAACAAAAACCTCCACATCCAAATGATTTATTTTACACTCCAGGTATACATTTTTGGAGAGTGGAAAGATGTTTCAATGAAAAATTAAATAAATAATAATAGGGGTTGCCATGGGGAGAAGAGGGTGAAAGTTATGACTATCCTACCTAACTATCCTTATAAACTTGATGTTTAGTACTGGGGTCTTTCCAGACGCATTCAAATCTTCAAAAATTCTTCCTCTGTATAAAAAAGGGGATACTTCTCAGCCAGATAATTACCGTCTCATTTCAATCATCTCTATCTTTAGTAAAATAATAGAAAAACTCATCAAGGATCGTTTATATGAGTATTTTAATAAATATAATTTTCTTAGTAAATCTCAGTTTGGATTTCGGAAAGATCACTCTACGGCACAGGCAGCATTGAATATTGTGGGAGATGTGATGGAGAGCCTTGAAGGAGGTAACTATACAGCTATCAGTCTGTGTGACCTTTCAAAGGCTTTTGATTGCGTCTCCCATAGTATTTTACTGGAAAAACTATATTTCTATGGTGTTAGAGGGACAGCATTAGCACTTATCGAGTCGTATCTCACAAACAGACTTCAGGCTGTATATTGTAATAATACTTATTCTGACTTTAAACCAGTTAAACACGGCGTTCCTCAAGGCTCCGTCTTAGGACCCTTACTCTTTATCATTTACATTAATGATCTTCCAAATTTTATGTATCCATACAAATCTGCTATTTTTGCAGACGACTCCACATTTATCTACTCTTCTAAAGACACTGAGAGTCTCGATTTAGTATCAAAAGATTTACACTCAAAAGCTGAAGAATGGTTTCTAGGAAATAGTCTTAAATTGAATAATAATAAAACCCAAAATCTTTATTTCACTACGACCTACTCAAAGAGTGGCACTCAAAGTGTAAAGCTGCTTGGCTTATTTGTAGATGAACATCTTAATTGGAATGTCCATGTGGAATACTTAAAAAGTAAGTTAGCAACGGCACTCTTTGTTTTAAGGCAGTTAAAAAATTCAACAAGCTTTGACGTACAAAAATTGACCTATTTTTCACTTTTTCACTCGCATATATCCTATGGCATTGTTATATGGGGAAATGCTTCTGCTGCATTAGACATTTTCAGATTGCAAAAGAAGGCCATAAGAGTATTGTGTGATGTTGGTTTTCGTGAACCTTGTAAAACTTTATTTATTAAACTTAGGATAATGCCTTTACCTACATTATTTCTTTATTATATGCTTGTGGAGATTCACAAAAAGAAGAATTTTTTGGGGAAAAATTCGGATGTACTTGATCACAACACTAGATTTGCCACAAATTTTAGAAATAAACAATATCGTTTAACTAAATCTCAAAAAAATTCACTAAATTTAAATTTCTACAACACATTACCAGACGAATTTAAAAAAATGTCTTTAAATAAGTTTAAAAAATCTCTTAAACAGTTTATGCTGCGATTTTGTTTTTACTCTGTTAATGAATACATAGAACATTACATTTAAAGCACATTGCTTGCATTGGCTTTAAATTCATTACTTAAATTAACGATTTAAACTCTACTTAAATTGGTACTATGATCCTGTTGGAACCAGCGTTGAGGGACATGGAACATGCTCACTGCCTTATTGTATTTTAATTTTTATTGATGTAAATGTTTTCCTTCTTCTTAGATTTTACTAATTTTATTTTGTAATTGACCATTGTTATTTTATATTTGAAGTTGTGAGCTCGTAATTGTATTGTATTTAATTTAATTGTATTAATATTTTAAATTTTCTGTTATACCTTGCTGCCTATTGAGGTACGTTCAGCTGTAACCTTTTAACTTTTCTTTTTGTTGTCATGACTTGCTACAAACTTGTGAATCAAATGTAATGTAGTCAAATAAAATTTACTTTACTTTACTATGCATGAGCAAAATGATGTCCCTCTTTGAATATATAATTTTTGACTTATTTAAGGGGGATAGTTTTCATTAAAATTTTCGGTATATAAAATATATAGTGAAAATTTACAAAATACTGTATTTGATAACGTCTTTACCAAAAAGATTTCAGCTATTTTAATGATTGTGGGGTATTGAGTGAGTAAAAATTTATGTTAAATTGAGATTGTTGCAGTAATTTTAACTGATAAATAAAGGTCCTATTTGTAACTCACAAAAAAACAATCAAAATCTTTATTTTATAATTGTGGTTACAAGCAGAAAAAATATAAATCCACTTTTGTCAATATTTACCTTTCTAGGAGTGTGGATAGGCGCCAAAGAATCTAGGTCTGTTGGAGGAAATTCTATGCCCTTGGCTAACAGATCTTGATACACAGCGTTGACGCCCGACAATTCCGGTTGAGATTGGAATGCACTAGCCCAACACTGAATCAGGCTCAGTACTTTCTCTTGAACGGCAGTTGGAGGATCGTTCTTTGGACCAATCAGTTTTACCTGAAAATTAATTTTTATACAACCGTTTGACAGGTTCTCGAAGTTATTTTCCTTTATTTAAATGTGTCTCAATCAAATCTGCATAACAGTATACAATGCAATACCTTTTAGACCTCAAAGTGTGGCCAATGGGATTTTTTTTTTCTATTCTTAAAATTGATAAATATTTGCATTTAAATATAAGGTTCATTTATATTTTCTTTTTAATTCATAACTGATTTTGAGAAAAAAAATTATTTTAGTCAATCAGTGCTACATTGCCAGGTAGTAATTCCAGATTACCAAAAAAATAAGCTTTGTAGAAAAAAAAATTATTTGAAACAAACAATATATTTTTTGAATAAAAATAGCACTACAGACTTGTTACTGTTGCTATAATAAAAAAGTATTTTTTATATCATAATTTGATATCTCTAGCAAAAGCCGTCACACTTTCCTGCTTTCAAATGACACAAAAAATACGATATAAGTAGAAAGATTTTTATAAAATTTTCATTGAAAATTTATAATTATTAAATTAATATTAATTTGTAAATATAAAAATATTAAACCATAATGTTATGATATTAACTTTGAATATACCAGAAAACTTAATTATAGCTTCTTAATTGCTAATAAATTATACTTTATTATTTCAATTGTTATCTGTAATTAAAGATAATTAAGTACATATTTACAATTTGTATACAAAATAAAATTTAAACAAAACCTACATACCAATTCTTGTATAAAATCTTTGTTACATACTAATACATGAAAACGTTTTCCACAATTTTTGATGCATGTTTCCAGTATTGTAAGGGTATACATTATGACGGTGTAATTTTTGCCAGCATTCTGAGTGAGTCTTTTACGAATTGCTTTGATGGCATCCCTGGGGCCTTCTTCAGTTTCATTTACAAGATCACATATTTCCATATTTAGGGCCCAATTCTCAGAAGCCAGGGTTCCATCTGTGGCTTGCTCTACAAATTAGACCAGGGTTCATGAGTTTCAAAGGCATAGGTATTTATTTATAAAATTTACAACCAAGTTAGATCATTTTGATAGTTCCAAAAAAAAAACCTACAATACAATGGGTAGAAATTTATTTATACATAATTTAATGGCAACTTTTGTTCTTATTGATATTTGTTTAGATAATTTTTAATCTTATACTGAATAATGAAAATAATACACGCTAGGTGTAATGCCACTTAAGTAAAGGTATATATAAATAATTAAAGAAATAATTATGTAAAATGCAGATAAGGATAAAAATAAAATAAAACTTAAACATATTTATTACACCAATTTGATATGTAGGTAAGTACTTATGTAGCTGTTTTAATAATTTAAATCGTGGATAACTTCTAAAGAAACGGATTAACATACATAGGTACATATTCAAGCAACAAATAGATTGTTATGAACAGTTGTAATTTGCCAATTATATATTAATTATTTCTGCAATAAAATGTAACAAGCTTTATTGGATGATTCACAACACCTTACGTCTCAAAAATTAACATTAACCTTGATAAAACGCCCTATTTACATTTACAATGAAATACAGATTTAGGTGAAAACGGTAATTCAAGCGGTGAAATGCAATATGTGGAACGATCTGCTGAATATACATTCGTCACAATAAAAATACCTACAAGTAATATTTGTTTTATTAAATTACTTACCTATTTTTGCACCGACACTTGTTGAAAATGGATTTCCAATTAGGGCGTTAGATAAAAACGACATTTTGTATTTTGCTGTAACTTTACCAATATATTATTGTTTTCTGTTTTCCTCGTATTCGACCAGCCAAAATAAACTCGCACTTATTACTACTGTCACTTGTCAATGAATGTCAAGCTTAACCTTCGTTCGTTGGTAAAAACAAAAATATTATTTTATGAAAAAAATGGATACGATTGTGTAAAATTAGTAAATTTTAGTTCAAATATATGAAACTGAGAACATAATTACGGAATCAAGGATTTTAGAGTTACAATTTGACTTATCCAAGTCACAGAGTACTCTAGCTGCTCCAAAACAGTTTTGTTTGACAGGTTTGTTCTGGTTCTCAAAATGAAAACTGTTTTGAAACTGCGCCGGACCGTATGCGTAAAGGCAAAAAATCCCCGACTGTCTGAAATTCTTGGAAAACCAGAACACGTCATAAAGGTGTTTTGTTTATTGTTTATTATAATAATGAAGTTCCTTTTGAAAGCTCAGCTTCAAATAATATTTGCATGTATATGTTTATCATTATCATCACATTTCAATGGAATAAATAAAAACAGAATATTAAAAAATTAATAATTCTAAAATTGCTTTAATTTACAAATAAAACAAGAACAAGAGACATTCGTCCACATATAAATAAACAATTTGGGATTGTATACGTTTCGTATGGTCTAAAAAGCCAATACAATATTCATAACACTTCAAAAACGCATGCGCGGTCAAAACAGTCCGAGTCGATCCACACTCCCAAGCATGAACACTTTTTGACTGTTTACAACAATCACGGATTATTTCGGATACGAAACCAGAACACTGGACTGAGAGATCCCAAAGAGCTTGAAATATATAGAGGTAGCATGAGAGAGATGGACTTATGGGAAACCTGTATAAAGCTAGTGTGCTCAACATTAATGACAACGACCTGGGTTTGTTTTGATTAGGGACTCCTCACAGTAGCGTCGAAATCCCAGTGGCGTAGTTATATTTTTTTAAGTAAAATGAATTCAAATTAATTATATTTCAATAGTGAAATCGAATGAGTTATAATTAACAAAAAATTTGAACGTAGGGTGTTTTTAATCAAGGGGGGTTTTGTTGCATGTAAATATAAATTATTTCATATTTAATTTATATTAAAATGGGTGATAAAATCCGATTAGTTTTTTGGGAGAAATTGAAACTTAGGAAGGGTCTTATTAATGGGAGTTTTGTCAGGTCTAGGATCATCACATTTTAAATAATAAAGAAAAGTCAACAACAAGATTATATTATTTTAATTTTATATAAATATAAACAAGTTTTTTACTTTTTTATGGCCTCGGCACTGCCAATTGGACAGACTGAATTAACAAGCTAAAAAATTTAAATATTTTAAAAACATATTATTGATTTTGAAAAATTATTGCTTTGGTTAACTGATGTCTAACCCTGGATTTGATGGATTTTTCTGACATTGTTTTGCATTCATGATTAATTCTTATGGTCACATATTTTTTTAGAATCAATCTAATTAACTGGATGGCGTGACCATCTACAACATCATCATCCAAAACGTGATTTCCAAAATCATTATATATATCTTCAGGTAATTTGCTAATGCATTTTGAAACAAAAAGATTTAACACATTGTCAACATTTTTATTTTTAAATATATTTAACTCTTTGCCCTCTTTTACTATTTTTTCACCTATTTTACATAATTTAATTACAAAAAGTGAAGCATTTTTAAGGGCACCATATTGTTTCCGCATTTGTAGTTTTGTTTTATTATTATTTAATATTACAAAAACTAACTACATTTATTTCCATACATACCAAAATTCTAATATACCTTGTCTAGATATGTCTGTAAACAACACACACATAAATACAGTTGATTCCACAAAATTTCTAGGAATAACATTCGATGAAAATCTATCGTTTAAAACTCACTGTCAAAATTTAGCGACAACCTTAAACTCACAATGTTTTCAACTTCGTAACCTTAAATGCATTTTAAAACCTCACCATCTTCGTCAAATTTACTTCGCAAATGTACATTCTAGGTTGATTTATGGTATCTGTGTATGGGGCGGATCATCCCATGCTAATGAAGTATTTATATCTCAGAAGAGAATTATAAGATGCTTGGCTGGTATTCTACCAACAGATTCCTGTCGCCCTCTATTTAAAAAACTTAAAATCCTTACCGTATTCGGAGTATATATTTTAGAACTTTTAATATACATATATAAAAACAAATCGAATTTTAAACGTAATAGCGACTTTCATTCATATAGCACCAGGAACAAAGATGAACTTGTTCCTCTGTTAGCACAGCTAAATATTTGTGCTAAGTCACCAACAATTCTTGGAATAAAATTATTCAATAAACTGCCACAGAGCATAAAAAATGAATCAACATTAAAAACATTTAATCATCGAATAAAACAACAGCTTTTAGAAATATGTCCATATTCAGTGCAAGAATATTTTCAATATAAATTTGTACCACATGCTTCACCACCAAACTGTTCTAGATAAATTTATACAAATGCCCCTTTTCGCCTACCATTCTACGTTTGTCTCTTCTATATTTGTCTGTATTGTTTTGTTTAATTACTTTTATTTATTGTATACACCTTTATATTTATAATTCTGACGTGTCCAATAACATTATAACTGTTTAAATGGATTAATAAAGAATAGAATAGAATGCCTGGTTACCTTTTAATATTTCCAAGCATTTTGTACAATTTATTAATTTTGATATGCTCTTGACAACATACCCAGCAATATATGAAACTACATCTGCCTGGTACGTTGTTAGATGCCATGCAGTGCTGCCTAAATAATCATGATCTTCATCAAATTTAATGTCATTCAATGCGTCATTGTAAATTAAATTATTATTGTTTTTTGACAAACTAGAACAATGTAAGATGCTAGTACTATCCATTGGGGTCACATTTCCACGAGTTGATGATTTTATATTTATATGTGTCAACAATTTTTTATAAATAGATTCAAACTGTCTGGCAGAGGGATTATTGTTATAACCACCATGTCTTCTAACTGCTCCAAAAAAAATTTCCAAATGATCTTGAGAGAACTTGTAAGTAAGTATATATTTTAAAAGAGGTGTCGGACTTAAAACATAGGTATTATACATGCCAAGAAGACTTTCAATATTTATCAGAAATCCTAAAAATCCTTTGTGATTACGAGAAAGTAATATATTTGTATTACCCAGTTTTAAATTTTTAATATATATTTTGCATTCATTAAGGTATTCTACAATAAATGTATAGTTTGCATTCGTAACTCCTCTTTTAAATATATACTTACTAACAAGGCTCTTTGAATTAAAAATATCAAACAGGTTGTTAAAAATTTTTAAAAATGTTACAGTAGGATATACATTTTTAAATTCTTTTAAGTTTAAATCTTTGGCAGCAAACAAAAGAGCATTTGCAACACTGTTGCTTAAAGTCTGGGCTGCCAAACTAACTTTCATCTTTTCCTTCTCCCATTGAATGTGCCTTCTTTTTAATTTGGTCCCTGCTAACAAACCTTCTTGTGACTGTAAGTTTTCCAGTTTTTCTATGTAGTCCCATTTTATGTCAGCTTCAACCCCATCAGTTATAACTTTTTTATTGGCCAAAGTGTTTCTTACTAATTTTAACATGTGACAAGCATCTAAATAAATATATATGTTTTCTTTAGTAATGGGATGTGGAAAATTAGAAATTATGTTGTCAACATTGCTAAAATTTGCTCCTAATTCTTGGGCTGTTTTTAAATTCGTTGGAGTTCCATCAAATGTGAATGATGTAACTACCACACCAGACTTGTGAATAAATTCAAGGACAGTAGTCGTAATATTTGCCTTTTCAATTGAATCCACACCATTTAAAAAAAAGTATGCAACAGGTATCTTCCAGTAACCATTAACACCTACTAGCATATAGACAAGAACTTCAGTGGCTTCTTCCAAGTCATCACTGTCTATTGGAATACCTATATTTACATACCCAGTTAATTTTAGGCCTGTCCACTCAACTTGTTTTTTAATAGACATTTCATCCATAATGAGGTTGCAAAGAACTTCGTGCCCTTTGGATTTCATGTCCTGGACCTTATGAGTAAGAGTTTTTAGTGCTTCTTCAGTTAGGCCAGGGGCACCATTTACTGACTGGTACCACTTGCTCAAGGTCTTAGGATGAGGCAAAGTATTATTAAAGGTCTCTCTGAGGTAATCATAGGCTTTTGGTGAATAAAAATTGAGAGTTAATGCAAACGCCCTGAGTTCTGGAGAATATTTTTGTTTTGATGGCCCCTTTAATAAACTTTGAACAATTTCCAAGCAGTTTCCAGGTACTGATGCCTAAAACAGAAAACATGAAAACTTTTAAAACAGATTATATATATAGCGTATTACAGTTGTAATTAAAATTAATTTACAACTTACATAGTCAACAATAAACTATATACATTAAATAATTTTAAATAATAAATAAGCTTACTTTAATTGATGTTTCAGCTTTTTCTGTAACTTTTAGTTTTTCACGAAGGTGTTGTGTCAAAGAATTTAAATCGGTAATTTTCCGTTTTAATCTTTGATTTGATATTCTCAGTGCATGAATTTTCCTTCTCTGCTCCAAAATTTTCTGTTTGCTAATTTTAAAGATTTTTCTACTAATAACAGGATTTTCAATGTCACTCGTAGATACATCACCTAAATATCTGGGATTTCCTTTGAATCTAAAATAAAACAGTACATATAAGTTACAAAAACAGAACTTTAACATTGAACACAAAACATATTGTTTAAGCAAAAATTATATAAACAAAGAGTATCAGGACACATATATGTCCTGGTTAAAAAAAGGTTTTTGGATTTATATTTTTTTTTTTCGCAATTTCGTAGTGTGGAAAATATAATATTTTGCTTAAATATTTTAACCCATCCTGTTTAGATATCTTTCCTTTTATTAAAGACAAAGATAGTATTTTAAGCAGTGTCTTCTAATCAGAAATATTCAAATATACAGAATATTTATATACCTTAATAAGATAAAAGTTTCTAACTAAATTATAAGTTAATAAGTATTTTTATTTAGAATGTGATTGTTTTTCTTTAAGTTAAAATTACAATATTACAGTACATATGTTCTATATAGGTACTGTGTATGATTCCTTACCTATTTTGTTTTTATTGTCATTTCAATGATATTTAACAAAGTTATATTAGAAAGTAAGTACCAACGTAACTATTTTAAAATAAACTGTTGTTTTTTTTTATGTTATTTCTTTTATTAAAATGTTAAAATTTATATGTATGTAGTTTTTATTTACATCAAAAATAATTCCTAGATATTTTCAAGCATGTGTGCCAGTTTCGCAAAGTTAAAATCTGGTCACCCTTTAATTAACAAAAAACTGGTTATGGTTAAAATATAAATATGTAAAGGTTAAAATATATCTATGATTTCTTAACAAAAATAGTGATAAATATTTATGTAGAGCTAGATTTACACTTTTATTAATTGAAGAGTGGTCAAGCTAAGTGATCTAAGGGCCAAAATTAAAAATTGTCAGAAATTAAAGAAAACTGTAGAGATTATCATGCTGAACATACAGGCAGCCTCCGCTTTGAAAGTTGTTTTCAACCACTATGATAAATTTGGCTTTTAGATTTTTTAGTGGGATATTGGCACTGGCACATATATATTAATAAAAAAAAACGAAAATTAATATTTTGGCACTCAAATGATTTAGCCTGACTACTATTCAATTATGTTTCCTCTATGTCAAAAAAGTAATTTTAATCAGTTTATTAATGAATAGCAAGAAAATTATTAAAATCCCAATAAATATGTGCTTACCTTTTTCGTGGAGGTTGTTTAATTTCAGGCGAATTCTCTTTATCAGAACTACTAGTACTCTTGGTCCCAACACTAAGAGGTTCTTGCATTTCAGGTTCAGATCCAGTAAGTGTTGACGATGAATCTTGTCTTACTGACAACTGTACTGAGGTACCCTGTCGTCTGTAAATATTTAAGATTTAAAAAAAGAACACTGAAATTTAAAATAAACATACCCTCTACTAGTCAACAAGCCAACTTCTTCTGCCGAAGGGGAACTAGCAGAAATAGTTTCAGAGTCCGAAATGCTGATTGATAATTCTGGGACTGCACCAGCTTTTAAAAAACGTCCTTTTCTCAAACTTGCAGTCTCCAAAAAATCACTTGACTTAAAATGTTTACTGCATACCCAAGTATTTTTCAAGACTTTATCATCAGAGAGTTTCAATGATTTTATCCAGAGATATTTTCGTTCATTGTTAGGAAACCTACACAAATATATACTGATAAAATAATTCAAAGTAAATTTTTGCTAATTTAATACTTACACGTGAAAAGAAATGCCTGCTCCCTTTTGAAAGGGTTCCTTGCACACTATGCACGATTTCATATTGTCCAAAACTGTTCTTCAAAAACTACTAAACTACTTAAAATCAACACTAAAACTAAAAGTAAGGTTTAATAATTACGAAACTTCTAAAAAAACACGAGGACTACAAAAGAAAACACAGAAATAAATCAAATAAACACATCAACACACAAATTAGGTCTGTTCTGGTTTTGAGAAATAACGATCCACAACTGTCGGGCTCATGCGCAGTAGATAAAAAGTGTTCTGGTTTTTCTGGGACTACTTCGGATTTCTCAGTCCAGTGTTCTGGTTTCGTATCCGAAATAATCCGTGATTGTTGTAAATAGTCAAAATGTGTTCATGCTTGGGAGTGTGGATCGACTCGGACTGTTTTGACCGCGCATGCGTTTTTGAAGTGTTATGAATATTGTATTGGCTTTTTAGACCATACGGAACGTATACAATCCCAAATTGTTTATTTACATGTGAACGAATGTCTATTGTTCTTGTTTTATTTGTAAATTAAAGCAATTTTGGAATTATTAATTTTTTTATATTATTCTGTTTTTATTTATTCCATTGAAATGTGATGATAATGATAAACATATACATGCTAATGTTATTTGAAGCTGAGCTTTCAAAAGGAACTTCATTATTCATTATTATAATAAACAAAACACCTTTATGTGTTCTGGTTTTCCAACAATTTTAAACAGTCGGGGATTTTTTGCCTTTACGCATACGGTCCGGCGCAGTTTCATAACAGTTTTCATTTTGAGAACCAGAACAAACCTATCATAAACGCCATTAAAAATATTTAAAACAACAACGTCAACAACCCGCTAGATGTTGCCAATTGATGAAACTCAAGCTCTTTGAGAGATCCGAAGTAGTCCCAGAAAAACCAGAACACTTTTTATCTACTGCGCATGAGCCCGACAGTTGTGGATCGTTATTTCTCAAAACCAGAACAGACCTGACAACTTTTTACACTGGACCACATTATTTAGTTCGTTTCCTAGGGCGAGCGCCGAAGTTGACCGAATTACAAGACATAAAGTGTTGCTAGTATGTGCAAAAAAACGATAGTGTCAAGGAAATTGAAAAAAATTATGGCACCTTATGAAAATTTTGTTTTATAATAAAATTATATTTAATGACACGTCAAGTTAGTGCTACATACAAGAATTTTGAGTTTCTCAACTTTTGTTAATTTATATTTCATCGAAATAAGTCATATAAATCAAGATTTTATGATTTGATCTAAATCTGAATAATGTTAACCTTCCTTATTTTTTAAATGCAAAGATAAAACACAAAATAAACACTCGTGGAAAATCTAAATTTCATATAACCTTGTGGCATGCATGAAACACCTAAATTGTAAAAAGTTGTTTTTATCATGATCTATTAATGAACAGTAAACAGTAAAGTTGGCAACGTTGGATAATGGTTGAAGTATTCGGGCTCGCCCCAATGATCTGTATTATTTTAAATAATACCAGAATAATACAGATCAGTGGCTCGTGGCTCGCCCTTGGTCGATACGTAGAATCCAATTTAGTTTTTGTGGTTAGGTTTTCATTTCAAAGAAGTAAACATATAGTTAGTCCTAGTTTAATTTTTTTTATATTAGTATTAAAAATATTAAAATGCCTAATTGGAATCAAATTCAATCACAGCTAAGACATCCCGCGAATCCAGTGGTGTTTTTTGATGTCTCAGTAGGCACAACTGAAATTGGTAGGATGATTTTTGAACTTTTTGCTGATGTAGTTCCAAAAACCAGTGAAAATTTTAGACAGTTTTGCACTGGAGAATTTAGAAAAGACGCGGTACCGCTGGGCTACAAAGGAGCAGGCTTTCACAGAGTAATAAAGGACTTCATGATCCAAGGAGGTGATTTTGTCAATGGTGATGGTACAGGCGTTATGAGTATCTATGGAGGCGGTACTTTTTCCGATGAGAACTTTACGTTAAAACACGACACACCCGGACTTTTATCCATGGCGAACAGTGGTAAAGACACTAACGGTTGTCAGTTTTTCATCACTTGTGCTAAGTGTAATTTTTTGGACAGTAAACACGTAGTTTTTGGAAGAGTAATCGATGGACTATTAGTAATGAGGAAAATCGAAAATGTTCCTACTGGACCTAATAATAAACCAAAAATACCCGTTACTATTGTTCAATGCGGGCAAATGTAATTGGTTTATTTCTGTATTGTTGATATTAAATTATTTTTTTAATTTATATTTTTATATTTTAACCCTAGAGATAATTCCAGGTTGGTTCTCTATAGTATAGAATTATTTAAACATGTGGATGTAAGAAAAATGCATTAAAAGTTTTAAAAGAATATAATACAATAAAATTGTGTCTTAAAATAATTCAATAAAACTATAAAGAAGATAAAATTACAGAATTTTACAAAAAATAGTACAAAAACCAATGTGATCTCACAGACAGAGAACTCATTAACATCTGCACATATATATAATTTACATTTTAACTTTGATACAATAATATACATCTAACAATAATTAAAAATCCAACTGGAATATAACTAACTATCCAGATTATTTATACATTTCCAACAGACTTGCATAGAAAACAGTGCAAAGTCTGTGGTTTTAGAAAAGATTTTAGAAGTTTTATTGCACTCAAAATGTACTGTAATTCGAATACCCTGTTACTCTATCTGCCTCGAATACGGTAGTAAACTTTATTGATACTTCTAATTGAAACTGATATTTTAAGTACTAAAATTGTACAATTCTAATCGTTTCCAACACATTTAATCACAGAGTAATCACACATAGGACGGCCATACTGTATACAAAGGTTAGATTCATAAAATATATTTAATACATTTTTACAAATAAAAGAAAATGTACTTGTTAAAAGGTAGAAAGTACAAATTAAATATTTCCTAATGAATTCATCAATAATGAATACAAAATTTAATTATTATTTATCGCACAGTGAGTCAACAATTTGTAAAAAGTTAATTTTGAATAAGTTTTTTATAGTATTTAAATGGGAATTACTTAATTGTGGACAAAAAGCTTGTTTAAATGACCAAGATCTTCAAGGTAAAAAAAGGTATAGTAAACAATCTTCAACTCTTGTTATATAAAACATACTATTCTTTGTTATAACCCTATAAAAAAAGTTTCATTAATGCGATGTTTGGTAAAACAATGGAAAATGAGAAAAAATATAACGCCTAAACAAACTTGTCTAGATTCTACATTGAGAAATGTTATCTTTAAAAGATGGTTCGCATCAATAGAAATCAGTCCATTTAATAATATATAGATAATAACTGTTATTCAGAAAAAAGAAATTCCGGTTTGATCACCCAAATTTCATAATTCTAACTAAATTTTAAAATTACAGATAAATTTGTTGGTAACTTTTGATGCCACAATTTACGGTATTGATTCGATATAAAAAATTTATTTAACAATTTGTAAATCAGATCAAATAAAATACAAACAATCTTTAACTTTTTTACCTATACAACGATAAAATATTGTAATCTTTTGTTCAAATTTCAAAATAAGTAATAAAAAAATACTGTAAATTACACTAGAAGGTATAAAAATTTATCTTCACATTTTTTACATGTAAAATTCCATTTGTTTCTATGTATAAATACACCTAAAAAGGATTTTGGGAAAATATAGTTGAAATTTTATTGTTCCACGCGTTCGTGTTGAAATTTTAACAAGTGCTTAGTAATATTTATTTAGTTTACTGTCCAGCAGCGGTATCACGAAATTATTTTTTTTTAAATCACAATGTTACATTTGCACAGGCGGTGTGTTTGACTTCCAGCAGTTGTGGATGGTTTTCCACAATGTTCAATAGGATGCCTTCGATATACGTCCTGAGTTGCCTGTTCACTTCTTGTTGCTCCTTCAACGCCTGATGTACCTGAAAAATTATAGAGAATTTTATAAGGAATGAAAATGCGAAAATATTGGAATCGTACTATAAGAACTGAATAAAACTAAACTAATAATTGACTCACCTCGTCCTGCGACATGACATCCAATTCGGCCGCCAAGCTATTTTCGCCTATTGAAAGAATCCTGCCCGTTTCTAAACCGGCGTGTAGGAGGCTCGCCTGCAATTCCTCGTTCACTTCTCTCAATCGCGAGTTTTCCGATCGCAGATTCGACATTTCCTCGTGTAGCTCGTCTAATCTCAACGTTTCAGGAGAGGTAGTAGGAAGGGCTGGCGTTCTGGCTTCCAGCCGCAGCCTTTCTATCTCCTTCGAAAGGTCTTCAGACAGTTGGGCTTGAGCTTCATACTCTCGCTTTAATCTGAAAGAAATACCTATTATTTTTCATTGGTTTTTTTTTGTTTCGCGACGTTAGGTTAAGTTGAAAAGGAGTGGGAGGATCTCATCGCCCAGATGGATACATTTTGGCTCATGACTAACTTATAGTTCACCGTACAAGCCACACCTTTTAATGAAGGCCATGGTTGAATTGGGTGAGACTTGTTTAAAGTCTGTAGGCTCCAGTCGGATAAATTTCGAAGATCTGGAACCTGGTTCTTTCTAAAGCGGATCAGGTACATAGAATGTGCTTTGCAAATTCATCTTCCACGCTGCAGAATCGGCAGTCCGATGTTTGTTGCAGACCTATCATTCTCATGTGGTTGTCCAGATGGCAGTGTCCTGTCATCAGTCCCGTGAGAATGCGTAGATCTTTCCTACTACATTCTAGGATCTGAGAAGAAGCGTTCATAGAAGGGTTGGTTATAAACACCTTCGAATGAGTTAGCGCTGGGGTATCTCTCTAGTTCGTGAGTGTTGCACCCTCCGTCCACTTTGAGATAATTCCTTTGGCAGTGCACTTTGCAATGTCCAGGAATGGTTCTGGTCCTATGAAATCAGATTCGGTTCCTTATTTAGCAAGCGTGTCGGCTTTTTCATTGCCCTCCACACCGCTGTGTCCCAGAACCCAGACCAAAGTAATTTTGTTCCGGGCACCAAGACATTCAAGGGAATTTAAACAGTTCCAAACCAGCTTTGAGACAACTCGATTGAGACTCAGGGACTTGAGGCCTGTATAGCTATCTGAAAAGATCTTTAGTCTTGTTTGCGGGAAGAAAATTAATCTACTCTCTCGCTCCCAATTCTATAGCAATAATTTCTGCTTGAAAGATAGTGGCCAGAGAGCCTAGGTTTATTGATATGTCAACTTTAGGCCTCTAGTCAAACACTCCCACTCCTACTCCTTTTTCAGTTTTGGAGCCGTCTGTGTACAATACATAATCTGCCTGGGAGAGGGTTTTATCCCCCTGCTCCATGCGTCTCTCTCTCTGGAATGAGGACTCTGTTTGGCTTTTCTATGTGCTGTTGCATTGACTACCCACCTTTAGGAGTCTGTAGGAGACCATCCTGGCCTCCCTTTTGAAAAAAATCTGAATAAAAATTGGAGGTTGAAATATTAAAAAAATCCTAACTAAAAATGATATCAACTTAAAATTTTTAGCAAAAATCGAGCTCTACAAGGAGACAAAGCCTATTGATTTTGAAAAATCTATTTAAAAATGGGTGGTTAATGGGGGTGGAAAAAATATCAAATCAAAAATTTTTTTTAGTAAAAGTCATACTCTATAAGAATTAGATGAAGCCTATTGATTCTGAAAAAAATCTAAATAAATTGGGGGTTGAAATATTAAAAAAAAATCCAACTAAAAAACGAAAAAAGATATCAACTTGAAATTTTTAGCAAAAATCAAGCTCTATAAGGGTAAAAAAGTCCTTTGATTCTGAAAAAAAAATTATTAAAAATGGGAGGCTTCAGAGGGGTTGAAATAAAAAAAATTATAAGTCAAATATTACATTTTTAGTAAAAATCAAACTCTATAAGCGAATAAAGCCTTTTGGATAAAAATGCGTTATAAGGGGAGATAAAGCCTATTGATTTTGAAAAAATCTAAATAAAAATGGGGGGTATAAGGAATGTTGAAATAATTAAAAAAAATCCTAACTCAAAAACGAAAAATGATATGAACTTAAAATTTTTAGTAAAAATTAAGCTCTATGGGGGGACAAAGTATATTGATTTAAAAAAAAATGTGAACATAATGGGGAGGGACTTAAGAGTGGTTGAAACAAAAAAAAAATAGAAATTAAACACCAAAAATTGAGTATTCATTATTAATTTATAAAACTTAAACCATTCAAGAATTTTATTTAGATCTTCCTCTATCTATAATATTTATTATTTCCTCTGGATCTTTTTCAAAATATATGAGGCATGCATCATCGGCAGATAACCAACTGGCGTTTCTATAAATCAGGAATAACGTTGGTCCAAGAATTGACCCCTGGAGATCAGCCATTTTACTTGAGATATCTCCATTACTTACAAACTGTGTGCGACCATTAAAATAATCTCTGAAAAAAGACAATGCATTTCCTGCAATTCCATGGTCTTCCAAAATAGATAACAGTAGTGATGAGTGGTATCGAACACCTTTAAATCAAATGAAACAATGACACATGAATTGCCTTCATCAACATGATGTCTGATGTTTTTTATCCTTTATTACGGATTCCACTTCTTTTTTTCATTTTTGATATGTTTTTTTTTTCTTAGGAAGCAGAAAAAATGTTAGAAAAGTGAACACCATAAATTTTTATTATGCAATAAACAATAAAAAAAATCCAGGTATTCCAAAGGTTAAGACTTAGGAGTTACTTGTGACTCAAAGATAACTTTCAGCGATATAAGGTTAATGAAAGTGTCTTTTACGTAACTAAAAAAAAAAAATTTTTTTTGACCGTCTGTTAAACGAGATATTAACTATCAAAATTTGCATAATTAACACTCTTGAAGCCTGTCATGTACACAAGCAATGCATTTATTTCAATTATTTCGAAAACGGTTCTTACTACATTCTTTAAAAACTAATGTAATGTAAATCAAGAAGTTATAAAATTTTCTAAAAAAAAAAGAACGATAATTTTTTAACCGTTTGGGTAAAAAGATAAATATTTTTAAAGCTGTCGACGCGTAGTGGGATACAATGATTACAACTTGGCAACATTGTAATCACTATACTTAACGAGCGGTAACCCAAATGTATGTTAGATTACTTTAGGCTTGTTTTTGTTCTTTCGGAAACTAGTTAAGAATCACTGAATTACACTCGATCAGCTAAGAGATTGTTATAACCTCGCGGCGTGTTCTTGAAAAATTAATTCGTCTACCGTATTTGTAAACTGGAATCGACGGTTCTGTTTGAACCAAAATAAACCATTAAAATTAGTATGAGGAAGTCACAAATTTTTATAGGTATAGACATTCACTTGATAGTCCACCATTCATATATTTGCGACGTTGCCGAATGGATTTTACTTGAAATTATAACTTATCCGTATATATAATCTTAGATGTGTTGTGTACAGTGTACATTAGGAGATATTTTTGTGAACTACCTGAGAAATACCTATCGAATAATGAGCATTGTACTCTGAGATTTAGAGTAGTTTTTGTCTTGTTTTGTGTGATTAGAGATTAAAGTCATGATACTATAAAGAGAAGGTAGATATTACGCAGATTGATGCTATACGTCACGGTGACGTAATGTGGTGGAAGGCGGGCTTTTACGAATTTGACGTAATAGCTGATTAAACTAGCGCGTGAAAATAAATTTTAATCTGCTCATGGCCAATCAGATAACCATATTTCACACCACAATACGTCATGCGCGAACTCGACGAGTTTTTGTCGGCTCTGTTTTTTTTTGTATCATGGATTAAAGTGTTCTGGTGTTGTATATTGTTTCTGAAAATGGTTGTATATGCATAAACTGTTTTTGGCAATATAAGACAACTAACTCGATATGAAGGAAAATTTAGGATCAAAAGTATGCAAATGTTCAAAACTCTTTGTAAACTTACCGAACTTCCTGATCCTTCATCATCTTCATCTCGTCTTTGGTCGCGCTCAACAAACCCGCCAACTCTTGGTTTTGTTCGTGCAAAATTTGCCGTTGGTCGTCTAATTTTTCCAATTGGACTCGTTGTCGGCCAATCTCTTCTTTCAAATTCGCGCACTCGGCTTCAGATCCTTGCAGTCTTATGTTCACGTTTTCGAGTAGTAATTGTTTCTCTCTTTCTAACCTAGACACCAGTTCTTTGGTTCGCCTCTGCTCGTCCTGCAAAGTCAAATATGTAGTAAAGTAACGCATGAAGACATTTGAAAAATAATACGTGGCGTTTTGGATATTACTGTAAAGTTTACCTGGAGTTTTTCTTCGTATCTAAATTCTGTTTCTCTAACTTGTTCCTCCAACATTATGACCCTGGCCTGTAGGGCGGCATTGTCAGATTTCGCCCGGGTGTATCGTTCGTCATTTTGATTTGCGTTGTCTTGTAAGGTGCCGAGCTGTTGTTGGAGTACCTGGAACTAAACAATGACGACATAGTGAACAATTAGAAAAAATCAATATACGTTCGTTTAGACGACCATATCTTTATCTCTATTTATTGTGGATATTTCTGGCTAATATCAAAAGAGCGGAAGAGTATCTGTGTATCCAGTTTAAGATGTATTTTTCCGATAATTTGGAAACGGTGGAATTATCAAATTTGTAATTTTTGACGCTTGTTGTTCTCTTTTTTCCAATATTGAAAACACTGAGATATAATCTCTTATTTGGAAAATAACCATTATAGGTATTATCCTAGAAAAATCTAGCACGGAAATTTTCAATAATGTAGGAACGTTCCTCCTCTTTTCAACGGTGAAAATCTCGTCTTCATATATTTCACGGTTTTAGAAATATACAAATAATCATTTGTTGGGTGGAGTTTCGTTCGAGCAATGTTGGAAACCATCGACTCGGTAGCGCAGTGTGTCGTGCGGCCAGTAGTTATTTACGGACCCTTTTGTGGTTTAACGACACACGGCTTCATATCCTAGACCAAACCAGGTTAATTTTTAATTAATTTGCATGGTTCGTTGTAGGATTTGATGGGCGATGTATTAGCAGTAATTAATTATAGGATGAGTATTATATATTAAATTAGAGACTATCCAGATTTGATTCGATATTAACAAATTGATTTTTTTTTCTATTAAAAACCTTCAATTATCAGTCTCAGAATACTTGCAGTTTTACAGCTACACAAATTTTCATGAATGGAATATTAAAAACATTAAAAATTATTTATATTGATTAAGTTTTTGAGTCATTACTGCGATCAGTTTGCTAATATTACTCATATATTTTCAGGTTTTTCTAATCAGTATCTAAATGACTGGATACTCACCATCAATATAGTAATAACCTCACTGATTGATCTGTATACAGAATAGTGTTATTATTAGACTCTACAAATTTAAAAACGTAAAATACCAAGCTTCTATAGTTGACTGCTAAATACCAGCCAGCTAAACATACTGATTCATAATTTCTTGACATTTTATTATACTCTAATCATAGTTAATCACCACTAATTAATATTATACTTACAATGTGATCAAAAAAGTGTAATATACACTATAGTGTCAGTTTATTTTCATAAAGACGCTCCTATATTTATATCAGTTAATATTGTAACGTTACTTTAATTTATTTATAGTTAATTTATTTACAATTTATTTATAACGTACTAATTAACTTATTTAGAACTTAGGCAATATTACAACTCACAATGCTAATTTATCTATTACAATTTATATTTTCTATGCGACACTTAAATTGAAACTTCCTGTCCATCGAAAAACTCGCGCTATTTATATAAAGCCAGCTCTGTTCCAGAACACTCTTAGCGATTTCAGGACGTCCGGGAACTCCCTCTCTATGACTCAGACGCAGCACAGTGATCTCTCCGGTAGCTTCTCCAAGCACTGCGTTTGTCTCTATATGGCCAACACTAAACTTCAAACCGCGGGCAAGGTAACAAACAAAGAACAGGATCGGCTTCGCGTCACATTGCCCCCTCCTTAAGAAATAGTTCCTCCTGGAACTAAAACTGAATGATTGAATCTGCAACTGGACTAACTTTTACAATTTCCATTCGTATGGAAATAACAAGGGACGGTTTTTGCTGAAAGCTGGACACTGGACGAATGGCTGCAAACCAGTATTTGGACCTCGGAATTTTGGAAGATTACTTCCAGCATGTTTCTGATGATCCTCGAATTTAGCTGGTTGCTCTCATCTTGGGCCTAGTTTCTGTACACTGGAGTGCAGTACGTGCTCACTCAGACTAAGTAATGCTTCCATGCATCATAATAAGTGGATCGATCTCGAAAGGTGTTCTTTGATACCAAATAGAAAATGTAATACGACCCATGTTGAAGTTTTAAGACTTTTCCAGGGACTGGCAACTGACCTTGAAGTTTTGGTAATCGACCAAACTTCTTCCGGAACACAGATGCTTCGTTGATGCTGGCGGAAGTGCTATGGACCAGCGAGTAATCTTTAGGAACCGTGAGCAGATTTTGTTGTTGCTCGGTTGTAACACAATATCTTGCTTTTCGGTACCTCCATATGCACCCATAAATTCTTCCAAGGTTAGGTGATTGGAGCTGGTTTACTTCTTCTTGCTCGACATGATTACCTTCAAATTGCGCCATCCAGTATTGGTGAACTACCTTCGGTTTACCGTTCGGGATCTTACTTATACGGTAAATGACATCATTAACTTTTTTTCTTGATGTGATACGGACCTTCCCAAGACCTTTGAAGCTTTGGAGAATAACCCTTTTATCTTTTTGTGTTATGGAGCCAGACTTTGTCGCCTTCCTTGAAACATCCTTCTGTGACTTGGGTATCGTTTCTTCATTCTCTAGCGATTTGAATATGCGAGCGAACTAACTCATGCATGTCGTCCATTTTTCGTCGTAGCTGAATCACATAATCTTCACCGGCTATGTATTCTCCAGGTCGGCATCCAAACTCGAGGTCACATGCCCGAACAGCACCTTTGGTGGTGTTTGGCCTGTAGATTCATTGAGAGCGGATCAGTATGCCATTGCGAAGAGCGAAAGATACTGATCCCAATCTCGCTGATAATTGGAAACCACTTTTGACATGTATTTGCCAATCGTCTTATTCATTCGCTCTACCATTCCATCCGACTGTGGGTGCAATGCCGTAGTTCTGGTTTTCTTCATGCCTAGTCTGTCACAGATTCCTTGAAAAATCTGGTTTTCAAAATTTCTGCCTTGGTCACTATGGATTTCCAAAGGCACTCTAAATCTACTGATTAATTCTTTTATTAACACATCTGTAACAGTTGCGGCCTCTTTATTTGGAATGGCGTAACTTCCACCAACTTCGTGAAATAATCCATAACCACTATCATGTATTTATTACCAACCTCGGTCATGGGGAATGGTCCTGCAATATCAAAGGCAATCCTCTTAAATGGGCTACCGACGTTGTACTGCTTCATGGGGGCCTTCCTTTTTCGTTGGGGTCCATTACTTATACCAGTTCTTTTCATGATCGGAACTGATCATCCAATAAAACCTTTCACGAACTCTCTGAAAAGTTTTCTTTTAACACTGAGATGTCCTGATAGACTGTGGTGTAACTGACGAAGTACTTCGGCTACTCTAGTCTCTGGAATGAACAACTGTCTTGGGTTTTCGGAACCATCATCAATCTCTAGTACTCGCTTTAATAAACCTTCTTCCAGGATAAATGAGTCCCACTGAGCCCAATATGATTTAACTACTGGAGAGAGTTTCGATACTTCTTGCCAAGTAGGTCGACGATTTTCCTCTTTCCATTGTCGCATCTTCGTTAAAACGGGATCGTTTTCTTGTTCTTCCCTAAGTTTGGCAGGGGCCCACTCATCGTTGACAACCGTTGTTCTTCGTACTGTAACTTCTTTAGCAGATGTGGCCAACCCCTTTCCAATCAGAGTTTCTTGATCAACACCTCCATTGCGTTTCGAAGGTTCCACCATGACAGGCGTTGCTTTCTCTACAGTTCCTTGCAACCGCGTTACTCTTATGGTTTCACTTCTCTCAGGCAACACCGTTCCTTCCTGTACAGCTACTGGCATTGTTTTTCGATTCGTAGTTTTCTTCGGGCGTTTGCGCGAACTGCTTACATTTCCCATTTCATTGCAATTCCAGCACCTAATAGTCTTCTCACTAAGGCTTTTTATCATGTGAAACAATTGGTCCAATTTATTTCCCTGTTCTTCCTCTTTTACAGTCCTTACTTCACTGTATCCACCTGAAGCCAGCGTAGCAGCTTCATATTCAAGAGCAGCGGACAAGACATCGACCAATGTTTTGTGAGGCTAAACGGAGTGTTCTTTGCGTTTCATGGTAACGAAGTCCATCAACAAATGCTTGAACAGCCAAACATTCAATCATGTATTCCGGAGCTGATGGGTAGGCAAATCGCACCATCTTCGCAATATCTATTTCGAATTCTTGAAGGCTCTCGTCACGTTTCTGTTTGCGATTCTTCAAATGTAATCGGTACACCTGATCTAAGGGTTTGTGGCTATATCGCATGTTTAGTCTCTTTTTGAGTTGTTCAAAGTGATCGGTCTCTTCCACGGGTTTAGTCTGAAGGACATCTAAAGCATCTCCTCGAAGGACGATTGTCAAATTTACTGCCTTTTCTCTTTCAGACCATTTGTTCGCTCTCGCAGCTGTTTCGAATTGTTTAAGGTAATTGGTCCATGACATCTTCCCGTCGAAACTTGGGGTTTTAACACGAGCAGAGTTTACAGCTCCTTCCAATTTCAACTTTGACTCTACCTCATGGTACTTTATTTCACCGTCCTTGGCCTGTTCTGTATGTTTCAGTTCTTCTATCTTCTTGACGTATTCTGAGGCGGAAAATGCAGCTTATTACAAATATTGCGTTTTTTTAAGGCTATATGTAGGGAAAACTTCTTCACAGTGTGTGGATTATTTGGTGCAAGACGGTTCCAAACAATGGAAAAGCGCTTTGGAATATTTTAATTAAAACAATATTTTAGAATCATAACACTGCCTTATTGCACTATACTAACTAAAAAAAAATAAATGAAAATAAAAAACAATCAATAGATGTCTTTTTGGATCAAACTAAAGCAAGGGAGGTTTCAGAAAACAGGGATCGGCTTAAACCGATAATTAAAACGATAATTTTTTGTGGAAAACAGGGTTTGGCGTTGCGAGGTCATGGGGACCATGGACCAATTGACCTTAACAATTACCCTACTGAAAATGAAGACAATTTTAGGGTTCTTTTAAGGGAACGGGTTGACGCAGGTGTCAAAACCCTATAAGAGCATCTTAAAAGTGCTAAAAAGAATGCTTTTTATACAAGTTTTGTAATACAAAACGAAATTATAAATATTTGCGGTTCGCTTATTCAGACGAAAATTATAGAGCACATTATATCATCAAAATATTTTTCAATTTTGGTTGATGAAACGACTTAT